ACCGCAGGCTGTTACTGGCAAGTTTATGTTGCTGAAGGTTTCGCCATGCCTAGAGATCAACTGGGAGGGAAATTATTTAGCATATGACTATTCAAGAGTACACCACTTTGAGTGAACATAAACAGCTTTCTGTTGTTAAGTCGACGTTTGCCTGCCACAAATTATACCGTTAGCAGACAGACAATGAGCCGTTAAACTGATATATTGACCAAGGGAGTGGAAGCACCACCAAAAAGCTCAATTTCATTGTGAAAACAGCATACAATGCAATTCGCTTTCCGAATTCTGTAGTCACTCAATTGGATGCACTAGTGTACCATCTTAATCTCTCCCGAAACATCTCTGCTAGGCCTCTGTGTACGAAACGCTTGTCGAAATATACTTCACGAATTGGGCATTTGCGTAATCACAGTGACGCACATAGTCAGAATGACCTCCAGTATTCTGCCACAGCAACGTATAATCCTCGAGTGACTATCCATCCTTACTTCCAAAGCCATCTCACACTCACTCATCCATGACGACCTCATTACTTCCAAAGCCATCTCACACTCACTCACCGATGACGACCGGTGATAGATTACCTCAGGTACGCTTCTTCAAGCAGCTTAAGGGAAATAGTCCATGGGGCTGGAGTTTGACCAATCAAAGGACTACCTTCTGTTAATCTGTGTACACTTTGGGCTTAACGCTGTATGGTTCCATTCCCTCTTATCAAACATCATTGTAGCTGAACTCGTTTTGACTTGTACCGCATACGGAATTGTTTGGTTATGTATGTTAAGGCAACTTGGAATATCACTCGAACAATGCAGCTCCGCTACATTTTGCGAACGAAGAAGCCAAGAAATTTTTGTACCGAACCATTAGCTAGAAAGATCAGCTAAACCTCCTGTTTAATGTGAGAAGACCGGTGGGGGAATGGCTTCCATTGAAAATGAAACGCAGTTGTAAAAACCTTTGTATTCAGACTCAAGCTGACCTAAATGTTTAACATGTTGGGAAACAAATATCTACAGTCAATGAACCATCATATTCGACGTTGCTTAATGATCATGTGGCGCATATAATGTCGCGTAATAGTCTCGGGAAGTTTTCTGCAGTATCCTTCAAAATTTGTCTTGTGCAGAACCTCACAAAAATTGCCCGTAGGAACACGTAGTCTGCACTGTCCACCCTATCAAGACACCAATAATTTGCAAGAAATTCCAAAACGTTCCTTTCGGTCACTGAACTCACTGTGTGGACGACTGTACTAAACCAGCGCGCAGCCTCATTGCTATTGTAACCTGGCCATTTACACTGCATCACTCTATGTACCCAGTGTCAGGAAGTGTCAAGATCCACTCAACTCCGTAAGGACGATGACAACCCGACTGGTGGTGGCGGACACACCGACCACCAACAGACGGTTCAGCTCAGTTGGTCGATGCAGGTGCATCACCTTCAGTGTCAGCTGCCCCAGTTATGACAATGACTAAATCAACTTTGTTTTGCTGCACTCAGGGACGCTGTAGTCATCCGTCTGACCAGCACAGTGGGAGAGACCGTCGGAAATTGCACGGGTTTCCTATATCGGGACGCAGCTGCCAAGCAGTCCAGAGAATAGCCTGTTCGGCTAGATTGAAGTTTAACAGGCCATACCGCAGTGAGCCTAGGGAATTTACTAGACCTTATTTACGGACATGATGCAAGCAACAAAACCTCTTGTCAGCAGGTTATCCATTTACTTTCGGGCTCCTCAGAGAAACGCAATATGCATCGTCCAGCCTGCGTGCACTGACTTAACATACTGATAGTAACCAAAAATTCAGTGACCCACTTCAGCCGTGTGTATGAACTTGGGAGGAATGGCTCTGGCTAATGACAAATTTACACAACATACCAACAGTTGGCGCTCTGCATCTAGCCCGGAAACACACTGCTGCTTAACGGCTTGCTTCAAAAGGATGTGGCCCTTGAATTGTTATCTCGGCTTCCACTGCTTTCATTCCCCTTGAGGAAGCATATTGCAGACGTAATGAAGGCGGATCCACCGCTTAACCAAATTTGACAGGAGTGGGACTGAGCTGACTGAGGTGTACCACTTACCCCCGCGCACGCTCGATATCGATAGCATATTGAATTCAGCTTACTCATACAGCCGTGCCAAAAATAAGTAGGATGGTGGTAAAAGTTATCTAGTAAGTCATGAAGCATGCTGGGGAACGTAATAAATGCAAGTCCCTCAACTCAATTCCTACTCACTTGTAGACCGGATAGTAGATCTCGTCCGGAAAGCCGCAAATTCAAGTCCCACCGCGCCCTACTAATGATCCCTGACATACACCGACCGGTTATAAAAAGCTTATCAGCGTTTCATTATCCAGTTCGTTTGCTGAACGAATTTTCACCAAAAAGTAGAGCAGCCACCTGCGATGTAGATCGTTTGATGGGTATACTGTTGAACAGCCTTCTAAACATATCACACTAACTCTGACATGAGAGTCTCCGTACGTTTGTGAACAGTACAACAAGAAGCTAGTTTCTTTCGAGTCATCTTCAGTGTGCCTCCCAGGTATCAACGAAGTTCGCTAATAGTCTCATTATCCGGGTACATTTCTTTCATCGCCGTAAATATTTTTTGACATCTTCGGCAGGATCAGTTGGTTTGGTGATACACTAACTCTGACATGAGAGTCTCCGTACGTTTGTGAACAGTACAACAAGAAGCTAGTTTCTTTCGAGTCATCTTCAGTGTGCCTCCCAGGTATCAACGAAGTTCGCTAATAGTCTCATTATCTGGGTACATTTCTTTCATCGCCGTAAATATTTTTTGACATCTTCGGCAGGATCAGTTGCGTTTGGTGATCTAAATTACCCTATCCATTTTCAGCCCAGGGACCGCTAAAAGAAATAGCTCTTTCACACCCATGGATGTTCTGTTTGGATACTGATAAAACACGTGGAGGATAAAACTATTGTCGATTTAAATAGACTCCTGACGATTAGGGCATGCACTGCTTACCTCGTGAGTGCCTGTTAGGGCGTCAGGCTGTAGCTGGAATTTTCTAGGCAACAAGAGCTCGTCAAAATTTCATACCACTGAGTGAATGTGGGTGAGTAGTAAAAACAAAACAAATAATCCCTCAATGAGAGGTGAGAAAATCTTGTCAATAATTCAAATCCCTAAGAGGTTAATCCCACTGGCTGTCAACGTTGTTCCTGTAGGTACGGGTAAGTGTGAATAATCTACTTAATTAATGTAACCTTGCTTTCAAAATCGCATTCTGACTGTCGGTAGAGGCAGACGGTCCGAACCATGGTTGGACCCTGGGGAAAAATTTATTGTTGCTGTCTGGACCGGGCCGTGTACGGAAGCCAGTTGACCGAACACTGTTGCCACATATTCATACAGGTCTCCAAGTGAAAATTATTATGGGGTTGATACATACACGTTCAAAACTCAGTCCGGATGAAGGGATGCACAATGTGTCACAAACGGTTGTAATATATTTAGGCATGAGTTGGTAAATTTTATCGTTTTAGCGTTCACAGCAATCTCCTCCTCTCCTGATACAATTATCCTGGTAAGCTCACGCCAGAAGAAAGGCATTGGACTCGAGTTTTGCCCTCAGCAGTGCTCACCAGCAATGCATATCCTTGGGCGTGCCCGGATTTGGTCTTCAGACATCTAATATGTAGGGCGAGCATTACCAATACTCTTCCAGCGCACTTTGGATACGTCTGAACTATCACATGCAAAGAGGCGATGGTGTTCACGCTATAGCACTGCTATTGGTTTGCACGATGCGTCTAACGCCCACCAAGAAGCTATCCTGATAGTGTCGATCGATTGATCCGTCTGGTAGGACTTCTCAGGAGCACAGCACTATGAACGCTTGAAACCGAGTGGACAGTATCTTTATATGTAAATGTTTGCCGGACTTGCGGAAATCGTGTTCACGCCACTCTGGTTTGGCATACAACACGCGATAGCGCGGAAGTGATTTTTTAAAATCTGACTTTCGTTGCCCCATCCGTTAGTTGCTAAAAACCAGAAGAATTTCTTAACCTTGCTTATTTAAACTAATCCTCAGATAGCTTTATTGTCTAAGGAATTGCGATTTGTTGCGGTTTTCACAGAATTTTTGGAAATATCTATGCGGTTAATGCTGGTTAACACTGTGGCACAATAAGCCCTGTATTAAGGAATCGCATTACTATTTGTGGTAAAAAAACTCAGGACTTAGCCCTTCCATAAACAATACATCTCTGATGGATGAAATGCTCTGGTGAACTTTCTAAATGAAGACCGTCTGTATTTCGAAAGGTGAAGGTCTGCGACAGACAATTCCATCACTGCATCCTTTAATAGGCGCGCAAAATTCAGACAGTATGTTAATAACACAGCTGATCCACATAGTTTAAGTTAAACGAACGCCATTAGACGAACACCAGGGGAAAATGCCAGAATATTGAAAAAGTCAGCATGGAACAGAAGTGGATGACACCTGTGAATTACCAGAGGAACTAATGTGTATATAAATCATGTGTACTAGCAAAAATTGCAGATAACTTGGGAATATTCAGTAGGGACATTGAAAAATTTTCTGAACTGTAATGCGACTAATTCGGGGTATACACCACAGGAGTGGCAAATAGATGGAAATTTCCTCCCGTCTTCTGGATAGGTAACACCGATGAGCGCTAATTAAGGTAAAATCCATGCAAATTTACGATATAAGCGGCTTTGTACCGGGACGCGAAAAACGCAAAAAGACTGGACCAGGACCGTTTCACAACACTGGTCCAATGAAGGGTTACTAGATTTAGATATTTTTCGCCCTCATTTTGTCCCATAGATTTGTAAGTTGGTCTCAGGTAATAAGCGTTTGCAGATGACCTATTGATATGCGGGGAACATTCATTCTACCCAAATGGAGGAGATGAACCACTCCACAGGTACGCTGAAGGAACTGATTTGTCCGTCTTTCCCTTTCTTCCGCTGACCTCTAAAGAAATTGCCAAGGGTGACATGGACATTTTGAAAATTCCCGCACCGGATCATATAGTCTTATGTGAACCAAGACAACGGTTTGATTTGACCGAGTACCTGGAACAGACCAGTTTCCGCTTTGACCACTGTTTCGAAGAGCATGCTGATACAGCCAAGGTTAGTTGAAGTTGTCCTTCTGAGAACTAAGTATTGGTTTTATTTGCTTCCACCTCAAAATATTTATCACACGATTTGCGGTAAGAAGATGAATTCACGGAACGCTAGCGTTTGATATTAGTTCATTTGTTGTACCACTAAATCCCTTACAATTATGAAGCACACGCTACGATAAGCATCTGAAAAAAACCTGAGTTGAAAAAGGCAAAGTTAAGTGTTAGTTTTAGATTTCGATAAAACTTCTGGCTTTTCAGGGCTGATCAGTTACACGCACTTCTACTGCTGCTTGAATACTTTTAAATTTGTATGAATTTTGTCCCC